ATCCATCCATCCATCCATCCATCCATCCATCCATCCATCAACAGCATCCATCCATCTCCAACATGTACCCACACCTCCATCCGTCCCCAGCATCCATCCATCCACAGCATCCATCCATCCATCCCCAGCATCCATCCAGCCATCCAGCCATCCATCCACCCACAGCATCCATCCATCTCCAACATGTACCCACACCTCCATCCGTCCCCAGCATCCATCCATCCATCCATCCACAGCATCCATCCATCTCCATCATGTACCCACATCTCCATCCATCTATCCATCTCTCCCATTCAGGATACACTCAGGGTCACCCAGGCCCCCTCTCCAGGTTCCATTTCTCCTTTTTGCTGCCTTGTGACTTCCCCACTTAACTTTTCACTCCCTGCAGGTCCCTGGGAAATGGGGAGAAGCCCCCGGCATGCCCTGCCCCTGCTCTCTCTGGTTCATTGTCCCTCATTGGACTCATGCCCCTCACCCTCCAATCTCTCTTCCAGCCGTGGCATTGTCGGAGGAGGCAGTTGGGATGCAGCTCCGTCTGGGTGAGCTCTCGGCGGCCAACGCAGCCCACGACTCCATTGACCTCTCCTGGACTGTGGAGGGGGGGACATTCGACTCCTTCATCCTCCAGTACCGGGACGCAGAGGGCAACTCCCGGGCGCTGCCTGTGGATGGTGCCCTGCGCTCACTCCACCTCCATGACCTGGCCCCCTCCCACAGATACAAGTTCAACCTCTACGGCGTCTCCGGCCGCAAGCGCCTCGGTCCCGTCTCCACCGACGCCGTCACAGGTCAGCGGCTGCACCCAGATGCCTGGGTCTCCTCGGCCGCTCTGGCTCCTCGACCTTCACGTCTCTTTCCGGTGCCTCTTGTGCCCTTGCTCATCACTACAGCCCACAGCATGGGCGTGCACTGTGTGTCTGTCTGTGCTGACCCACCCGGCCTCCAACCTGTCCCCAGGGTCCCGGGCTGCGTCCTCCTTCTCCTTCCATGTGCCGTCTCCTTCCACCTTCTCTCTCTTTCTGCCATCAGCGTCTCTCAATCTCACGCAACTGGCTCTTCCTTCCCCCTTCTACTTACGTCCATCCAATGTCCTTCTTTTATCTCCTTCACTGTCCTGCTTCTACCTTCCGGCTGGTTTGTGCCTTTCGTTCTGCCTCCCCCTTCTTTCCCTCTCTGTCTATCATCTCTGAACCTAGGGATCCTCCCCTTCTCTCCCCTTTCCATGCCCAATCTACTCCTCATATCTTTTCTCCTCCGCTTTCACTCTCTGTCCATCTGCTCCATCCAGTTCTCTCCTTTCCTTCCTCTACGCTGTTTATTCAATGTTCCTTACCCATCATTCTTCTGTTTCCTCCCTCTCATGCTTTCATTCTCCCCTTCCCTTCCTGATCTCTCTCTCTCTCTCTGTCTCCCCACTTCCCTCGGATTCTTTCCTCTACTTTCCTTCCTCTTTCTTCCTTTGCTGCTTCCCCCTTTTCTCTCTTTCGTTTCCTCATACGTTCCCCCCCTTCCTCATTCATTTTTTCTTTTGGTCGCTTTTGAGTCTTTATTTTTTTCTCCACTCTTCTGCTTTCTCTTCCCTCCAATTGTTTCCTTTTATGCCAGACAGTGATCTGCGCCCTTAACCCCCCTCTCTGTTCCAGCTGCGGTGCCGACAGAGGAGGTACCCACCGCCCAGCCCAGCCTGGGGCAGCTCTCGGCCTCCAACGTCACCCACAACTCCATCCTGCTCTCCTGGACTGTCCAGGCCGGGGACTTCGACTCCTTCCTCCTCCAGTACAAGGACGCGGAGGGCAAACCCCAGGAGCTGCCCATGGATGGGGGATCCCGCATGGTCACAGTCACCAACCTGGGCCCCTCCCACAGATACAAGTTCAACCTCTACGGCATCTCCGGGCGCAAGCGCCTCGGCCCCGTCTCCACCGACGCCACCACAGGTCAGCGGCTGCGCCTGGAGCGCCGGCTCCTTCCCCTTGTAGCCTGGTTTGCTTTGCAGTGTGGTGGGGACATTGGTCAATGCTCCGGGACCATCCCAGCAAGACACTTCCAAGCCTCAGGTGTCTATGACCCTGGCTACTGATCATTCAACAGATGAAAGTAGGGGTGTGAATGGATGGATGGATAGAGCGGGTGTGTAGATGGATGGATAGAGGGGTGTGTGTGGATGGATGGAGGCCTGTATTGGGGAACAGATGGAATAATGGATGGATGGGTAGAAGGATGGATGAATGGATGAATGGGGATAGAGGGCTGTATCCG